CTCCTCTTCACCAGTAGCTTTTTTCATAGACATTTTCTTCGAGTCTTTCTCATTTAGTCACCCTGTGCTTTGGTGACCCACACTCCTACAGGGTGGATTTAAACTTTGCTTCTTTTGTAATCCCAAAGTTTTTTGTTTTTTTTTTTTTTTAAGATTCTGTTATGGTAACATCATGGGACTCACTCTCCTCTCAGCCTCTGAACTAGTTGCCATCTGTCTAAATCAAGAATTGCATTATTTCATTCTCTTCTCATCATCACTATTGTTATTTTATTTTATTTTATTTTTTTAAAAACCCACACATTGTTCTTCTCTGCTCAAAGCTTGGCATTCTGAACTCTGAGTAATATTTCAAACAGGATGAAATGAGGTAGTTGGCCACACTGTGCCAAAATGAAATGCTTGCCCCTTCTAATCAGTGCAGTTAAATAACACAGACTTTGTTGAACATCTTATTATAAAGCATTCCTAAGTACACATTTTACATGTAGCTGAGTGAGTAAACAATTGGAGCACTGTAAGTTGCTTCACAGCATAAAGCTGAATAACATTGAAACAACTTCAAGTGCTACCATTCTGTTTAATAGAATTAATGTGTTTTCCTTCATTAAAGAAGTTTTCTTCATATGTCACACTTTGGGAAACTGAGAATAGTAATTTAGGCGCTTTTTTTCTGTTTGATATTCCTTGCCCCTTTCTTTTGTTTGACAACCACGGTAGAGTTCATCGGCAACAGTAACTCAAACAGACTTCTATTAGCCTTGCTAATCATGCAAATACTTTTTTTGAAAGCCACTCTGCATTTTCAATGGCAATACCCCCCCCCCCATATGGTGGTGGGAGGGTGAAAGAGAAGGATGGGGAAGAATGACAACTTGAAAGAAAATCATAATAAAGACAGCTTTGGTAATCTAGCTCACTGAGTACCCACTTGGCTGGTTTCTTGTGCATGAGGAAAAAGAGCACAGGAATGTGAGTAAGTCATACATAGGATTTAAAAGTCACATGCATTGCTTCAACGTCCTGACTGCCGTACACTAGATTTGTGACCTGAAGCAAGCTATTCATCTTTTCCAAATCTCAGACATATCTTCTCTAAGATGGGGTAATAATAGTTCCTACTTTTAGATTGAGAAATTTAAATGTTATTTATTTATTTATTTTTTTAGTATTTTCACAAATCTATAAATACTTGCTAATGGTGTTTTGTTTTGTTGTTGCCGTTGCTGTTGCTGTTTGGAGTTTTAAACATATATGATGAAAAATAACAAGGACAGTTACACTGCTTAATCGAGTCCAATTATCAAGCAGATATTTCACTGAAAGGATTAGCTGGAAATTAATTCATTACTTCATGTATTTGTTTCTTTACTTAGTATCCTCCCTCCTTCTTAGTTTATATGACAAATTTTAATGAACAAATGATTTATCAAGACTTTTCTAGAAAAGATAAACTTAGAAAACGAAGCTTGAACATTGTCAGAAAGAAGAGTAATTCTTGTACTGGAAAATATATAAAAACTTTAATTTTGGCAAAAATTTTACCTCTTTGTTTTTGTTTTTATTTCAGTTTGCTCACTCAAGAAAATAAATCCAGTTATTTTCTGGCCTGTGTTGACATGTCATAAATAGAGTAGAACAGTATAATTTTTCCTGCTGGGTTTCAAGAGTTTACTTTTTCTGATAAAACAATAAATCAACTGACAAAGTGGAATTTTCTTATAATACATATGCAACAAGTTAGGTTGCATGGATAAGTTGAGCTTCAGTTTACATATATAAACTCAGGAGTATTTTATTACAAAGCAGTGGTTCCTGGAAGCTACTTAAAGAAGTAACTACAAGAGTAACTATGAGAGAAAGATATATGATTAACTTAGTAGAACTTAGAAAGTGATTTCTGCAGCTTTGGAATCATTTATGCACCAAGTCAAACAGCTATACATATTGGGTGAGTATAAAATAATGCTAATTTAATTAATCTTTCTTACAGTGTTATTTCCTGAAAAGGGACAGGGTGGTAGAAATTTTAAGTGAATTGGCATGGTTTTGTTTTATTTTCAATGTAAATTGAATTTTTGAATCTAAGAATCCATATTCAGCATCACATGCACTATACTTTTATGTCATCACAGGTTTGGAAAACCCCATAACCAGATCTGTTTCTTCAAGAAACAAAAGCCAACTTTGTAGTTATAGACAAGACACACACGTTAAGCCAGCTCATATTTTCCTATAGCTTCTCTTTCTAGTTAAGTCTGCAAACTAATTTGGATTAAACTAAAACAGACTTTTGCTCCAAGCATTTTGAAAGTTTAAAGAGTTTGGCTAATTTTGGTTGTCTTTTCAAAATATTTCTTATATGGCTTCATGTCTGTGTCCTGGAAAGGGACCAATATGTGCTTAAATCTTTCAAGAAGTTGCTCTTTTATTCTGCCCAGGCTTCTGAAAGGCAGAAAATACATGGAAGTTCTAAGGCTTTGTGTCTGCTTTTATCAAATAAGATGCTGGACAAAGTTCATCTCCACTAGGATTCAGAGTAATCGGAAGAGAAATGTAGAATGTGCATTTGTAAATATATTATTGTTTTAATATTCTAAAACTTAGTGTGTATTTAAATCTTTTTTTAAGGAAAATAAAAGGAACAGACAAGTATGTTCCAAGTACTTTCACATCTTTGTTCCTCCTGTGTTCATACTGTGACTTAATTTCTTACCAGTTGAACCTGAAAGCATGCTATTTTAATTTCTAGTTGAGATTCTGTGCTATCATTGGTATATGATACTACACAGTGATGCTGTTTAAATGAAGAAATCTACTCGTCTAAAAAATCTTTGCCACTGATGCCACATACAAATACCGTATGGACTAGCTCTCAGAGCCAAAGCAGGAAAAATCGCCAAAGGGTAAAAATAGTTCTTGATATGATGATATGCTGCTAAAAGCCACATGGTGTTTGGGTGCAGTATTTCACAGTCAAACAATCATAATTTCATGCCTAAAATGTGCATGTTATTTCAGGAAAATACAAAATCTGAGCATTGCACATTTGCTACAGAATGACCAGTGAGTGTTGCTATAATGATTTGTTTTTCTTTTACAAATGAATATTTCTTGCTGAGCCTTTTCATGCCATATTGCCTGGGGTGGCAATGGGAGTAAGGACAGGCTGAGGTTAGAGGAGGAAGTACTGAGGATATCTGTTCTTTTCTGCTAAATTCCTATACTTCTACAAACTAGGTATGGTATAAAAGAAGCTTCCTTTCTTTTCTTTCTCTCTTGAAATGTTAAATACTGTAGTCTTCATCTTAGAAGAAGAACTGTGCTTTGTGAGGCCTGATTGTAGTAGAAAGCTTTTCAGAAAAGGGTTTATATCTTGCCCCTAAACGTGCTACAGTTCTCACGTAATGTTTAGTAAATATTTATGTTGTGATGGATTTAATATTTTAGTTGTGATGGATTTGAGAATAATTCAATAATTGGTCTGAGGCCTTGCCATTGCAATGGAGATGCAAGAACATAAATGATGATTTCTCTAAAATACTCTTCACATTTTATTTAAGCTATATGATGCCCCACAGTCAGGGTGAATGCGGACAGGATCATGAGGTATAAGGAGGAATCTGTAGGGGATAAAAATTGGAAACAACAGGAAAAGGAATTAGGATTTTGTTTTATTTTGGTAACAAAAAATGGCTTACTCAAGGAGAAAAAGAAAGTCTCAAAGCTATTAAACAAAAGTGAAAGGTTTATGGTATCTAGCAAACTAGAAAAATATTCAAAGGCCTGGAGACAAATGAATCAGTTGAAAATTCATGCTGCTCACGAGGAAAGATACTTAATCTCAGGATCAACCCAGGTTAAATGGAAAAGGACCCGATTTCTTACTAGAATAATCATTAATAGTTGATAGCATTATATAAATCCTACTGTGTGTCAGGTACTTCAAGAAAATTAGATTATTTGATTTTTTGTAAAAAAACTTTATAGGTACTAACACTATACCCATTGTACAGAGGAGAAAACTGAGGAACAGACAAATTAAGATACTATAGGTAGACCTTTAAAACACTGGCCAGTGGGTAAGCCAAATGACTCTAAGTCTTAAAAAAGTTGAGGACCGAGGTTGAAGGTTCAGAGAAGTAACCTGCTGATATGAAGTCAACATGGATCTAGAAATAGAAGAAAAGATTACTAAGTGTTGTATTAATAAAAGTACGTAAAAATGAAGTTCTAATAAAAACTAATATAATTGAATGATGCTACTCTGTACACTTGTCATTTATCTCAAACTCAGTAGTCTGTAGCTCCAGCAACAATGTATTTCAGAGCTAGAGAGAATCTTACAGGTCATTTATTTCAATGGAACTCAACATTTTTCTGATCGATACTCACCTGAGGGACAACACTCCTGTGCAGGTCACATCCTGAGTTGAAGAAACTAATGGCTAGAGAGATTAGCTCACAACTTCACAGGTAATTAGTAGTACTGTAAGGGTGCTGATTTAGCTATTTTGATTCCCCGATCAAATTGTCGAATATATGTATGGCAAAGGATAGCAGGAGAAGACAATGTCTCTGAGACCATGCTGCTAAAATAGGTACTGGGGATATTGATTGACTATTCTGTCTACAGTGCTGTTATAATGCACAGAACAGATGTAATTCTAATCTTTGTTGATCCTATGGCTACTGGTCAGTTACAATACTGTAGTCCTCCCTTATCTGTGGTTTCACTTTCTATGGTTTCAGTAACCCACAGTCAACTGTGGTCTGAAAATATTCAATGAAAAATTCCAGAAATAACCAATTAATCGTTTTAAACTGCATGCTGTTTTGCATAGTATGTTGAAATCTCGTGCTGTCCTACTCTGTCCTCCCTGAGACATGATTCATCCCTTTGTTCAGCATATCCACGCTGTATGTACTATCTGCCTGTTACTTATCAATATTGTCTGCTCCTGACATCCAGCTGATATTGTTATGGCTCAATGTTCCAGGATCACCCAAAGCCAATGATCTTCCTTTTGGCATACCGTCAGAAGGTCAGGAGTAGCTTAACAGTATGATCCAGTGCCTGCATCATTCACCTCACTTCAGCTCATCAGGTGGGTATTTTATCATCTCATGATATCACAAGAAGAGTGAGTATAATACAATAAGATATTTTGAGAGAGAAAAACCATATTCACATAACTTTTATTAATGCATATTTTTATAAATGTTCTATTTTATTGTTAACCTCTTCCTGTGCCTGATTAATAAATTACACTTTATCATAAGTATGTATGTATAGGAAAAAACATAGTATATATAGTGTTTGATACGATCTGAGGTTTTAAACATCCACTAGGTGTGTTGGAATGTATTCCCCATGGGTAAGGGCTCCTCTGTACTACACAGTTGAAATCAAAGACGGTATTTTCAGATCATGGAGGACAGGTGTCAAATCTGGATTCAAAGGCTTGAGGAAGATTTCTCAAATGTTGTCTGAAAAATGGATAATAGTTGGTCAATTGAAAAATTAGGGGAAGAAAGTTTCAGCCAGATTTTAAGAGAGGGCATTGTATAGGGTAGCAACTAGAGGAAGTTTGACTTGAATGCCAAAGTCTAATGGGAAGTGGCAAAGGTGAGAGTGAAGCGGTAGGTAGAGACCAAGTATTAAAGAGCCTTCCATGCAATATCGAGAAGTTTGAACTTTATCTCAAGGATACAGTAGGGTTTTTAATAAAAAATTGATGTTTATCAGTTTTCAATTATAGCAAGATCACCCACTTTGCAGCGTGAATAGAATAGACTCAGGACAAAGAAACCAATGTAAAGAGGATTTAGCAATAACCCAAATGAGAAGCGAAGTGGCTGAGAGGAAAGGACAGATTTAAGGTTTTTAAGGGGCAGAATAGTAAGTCCTGTGTTAAGTATGATATGGATGGTAAGAGAGCAAGATGTGAAAGTCAAAGACAATGCAAAGCTTTATAGTTTGTTTCTGTATCTACTATCCTGTTACATAATAGTGACATTTACCAATTTTGGAAACAATGGAAGGTGGATTTTAACTGTGACTCTCAGAGGTGGAAACTGACAAGAAAAAAAAAATTAAGCAAAAATTCCTGAAAGTGTAGTGTGACAGAAGTCATGAGAAGATAACTTTAAAGAGGGAGTAGCCCACAGTGTCAAATGCAGTGGAGGACAAGAAAATTAAGAACTAAAAGGAGTTCACTGACTCTATCAATTGGAAGATTATTGAGAATAATTTTAATCATGGGTGTAACTGTTGAAGAATTAGAGAAGGCTGAGTGTGTTACCAAGAGAATGCTCCTCTCAGACATCCTGCTGTAGGAATTTAATTGCTTGATAGCTCCAGATTTTGCATTTTTGGATTGACCACCATTGGATCGGAAGCCATATTTATCATTGACTGCCTACCGCCAATGACCAAACACAGTGGAGTGTCTTAGTCCATTTTCTGCTGCTATAACAGAATACTTGAGACTGAGTAATTTATAAAGGAAAGAGGTTTATTTGGGCTCATGATTCTGTAGGCTGGGAAGTCCAAGAAGCATGGAACTGGCATTTAGTGGGGTTGTCCTGACTGTATCACAATATGGCAAATGACATCACATGACTGGAGTGCATGGAAGAGAGGGAGGAGAAAGAAGGCTGACCTGCTTTATAACAACCCACTCTTGCAAGAACTAATTCACTCCTTTTGTGAGAACTAACCCAGTCTCACAAGAAAGACATCCATGTATTTGAACAACCTATTCTCCTCTTAAAGGACCAACCTCCCAACACCATTGCATTGGCAACTACATTTCCATATGAGATTTGGTGGAGACAAACTACATTCAAAGCATTGTGCCCCTAACTTCCCTTCCAAACTTATGTCCTGTTCACATGCAAAATATAATCATTCCATCCCTATAGTCCTCAAAGTCTTATTCCAGCACCAACTTAAAGTCCAAAATCTCATCTGAGACTCAGAGCAAACTTTTCCACCTGTGAGCTTATAAAATCAAAATCAAGTTATCTACTTCCAAGATATAATGGTGGGATAGGGATAGAGTTAAGATTCACATTCCAAATGGGGAAAATAGGCAGAAAGAAAGGAGTAACCAGCCCAAAGCAAGTGTGAAACCAGCAGGGTAGAAATTAAAGCTTAAAACTCTAAAATAATCTTTCCCTCCATGCTGCCTCCTGGAAACACTATATTACAATTGTGCTATACAGTGTGAGACTTTTCCTAACCAGTCCTTCCTGTAAGCTCTCCTTCACAGGAATCCTCATCACTGTATGAAAGCTTTCCCCATCTTTTCATGTTCCCTCCCCTTCCTCCTTTGTAGGCATTTCCCCAAAGACATCTCTTCTTGCACATTTAATCTTTTGTTGGTTTCTATTCCTCAGAAAATGCAAATTGATGTCGAGTGCTATGAATATTTGCCCCTTCAAAACTCATGTTGGAATTTAATCTCCAATGTGGCAGTATTGAAATGTGGGAGCCTTTAAGAGGTTATTAGGTAATGAGGTCTCTACCCTTAGGAATGGATTATTCCATTGAATTAATGGATTAATAGATTAATGAGTTGATGGATTAATGGGTTTTCATGAAAGTGAGGCTTGTGGCTTTATAAGAAAAGGAAGAGTGATCTAAGCTAGCACATTCACCATGTGATGCCCTTCTCTGCCTCTAGACTTTGCAGAAAATCCTCACCAGCATGAAGGCCATCACGAGATATGGCCCCTAGACCTTGTACTTCTCAGCTTCCATAACTCTAAGAAATAAATCCATTTCTGTTATAAATTACCTGGTTTCAGGTATTCCTTTATTTTCATGTATTCCATTAAACAGCAGAAAAAAAGACTATGACACTAAGGAATCAATAAGAGGTGAAAACTAGAGACATTATCATGCAAGTGGCATTAGTATTGTAATGAGGAAGGAGGGACCATTTAATGGATAGAATAGGTTCTCTAAGAAGACAAAGGGGTAGACTCTTGAGGCCAGCAGAAATGGTAGCCTTAGGAAAATGTGAACCCTTTCATTTTCATACAAAGGGGGAGGAAAAGAGGATAAAGATGAAGGTAGTTTGTAGGTTTAATGGAAGGATCTTAAGGTGAATTTCACTGGCTTCTTTGTATTCTATGAATTAGAAGGTGAGATATCCCTTAAGAGTGAAGGGGAAGGTTAGGGATTTCAGGAAGAAAGTCTGAAATAGACACTGGCTCCTACAATGTAGTGCACTGGAGAGAGCAAACTAAGAAACACAGCAGGACTTTGGGGAATCTTCAAGGACCAACATGCATTTGGTTGATTGCTTTTATCTTTCTTAAATGAGCTCAGTAATTTTGTTATAGGATGATAGAAGGCTGAGAGCTAAATTTAAATTTTCATATTTTCGGAAATTGCTCTGATTTCATCCCTGTGACTATCCTTTGGTGTTTGGGCAACTTGAGTGAAAGCATTTCTCTGAGAGTTTAAACTAGAGTGACAGTTGTTTCAAGATTTCTGATGTCTTTAAGGACCCTGAAAGAGAATCCCTTTATCACTACTAGAGAGACTCTTTGACATTAGCATGAGTGATTCTACATGATTTCTAGTTCATGATTAATATAAATAAGAATGCTAAAACAATAAAAAGATAATCCTCTATCTCTTCTCACTTTTCCATTGTATATTTCTCCTGAGGCATTTGTGTCCTTTGAATGGAGTTACTTTCCGTGTTGTATCCTCTATCTCACCACTACTAATAAATAATGAAAAATTCAAAGAAAATCCATCAGGGATAATATTTCACCACGTTGGTAGTCTGAAATCACATTGTCACTTTTATAATTATAATTTGTAAGACCTCACAATTGTAGCATTGGATAAAAAAATGGAGAAGAGACATGAATATCTGATGTATCCTATAGCAAGGAAAAGCAATCTAGCAACAAATTGATGATAAAAAGATTCAGAGATAATTATGAGTTTGATTTCTTAGGAGGTAAATAAAAAGATAATTAGCTGATTAGCTGTGATATGGACTTTGGTGTAGCTATATTGCACACAGAAAAAAGTGAATATCAGTTTCTTCATTGTATTTTTTAAATCCTATTGCCAAAATTGTTGGTAGATTGGAGTATTATAGAGAATTTAAGAGTACAGATATATTTTTAACTGTTAATTATATAAATCATTTGCTGAAAATTCTATCACCTGAAGTCACAATGAAATACAAAAGCTGACTTTGACCTGTTCCCTCGATGGAAGAGAGAATGGAAGAGGTGTTCCAAAATGAAATAACACAGAAAATGATAGTAATTAGGAGATAAATCAATCCAAACATATTAATTACATTCCAAGAAGAACTAGAAGAAAACTATTCTGTATTTATAAAGCTTTAATAACCCAAATAAATAGTCTTTCTATATTTATTTTTCATTCTCTATTCCTTTAAAATTATTTATTTGGTTGAAATTCTCCTATAAAATGTAAGGGTTTTAAGATAACACATATTCACACTTTCTTTTTTTGAGGAAAATGTATACTGCTGAGTTCACTGAGGATTTAAGAATCATTATACATTAAGATACCCATAAAACTACTATAAAATATAATATTAATATTTTCATGAACACCACATTTATATTCAAGAAGGCGATGCCTTCACTGCTTTTGAATTTTAAACAAAGAAGTACACATCTTTTTCAATTTTATGTTAGCAAATTCTTGTCTAGTCATGGTACGAACACAAGGAATTGCAATTAGACAGAATTTCCCAGAATTATTGCATGTGTAGTATGTGTGTATATATTCATTTACGTATGTAAATATACAAATATGAAATGTCAAGAAAACTGATATCAGAGCTATTTTAAAAAGCATTATCAAGGTACAAAACAAGCTTATCCTAATTATACAAACCATCAATGTCTACTATAATTCACAAGTTATTGCTCAGAGATTTTCATAAGTTTGAAGGACCATACACGATCATGTATTTTCTGAGTAATTGAAAAAAATCAAAGAAATAGTTAATATGCAATATAAATTCTATAGGATGCATATTTTACTTCTTAATAATCCATGTGTTAGATATAGTTAACTTTTAATTAACTAGAACAT